CAGTACGCGCTGGCCGGGCGGCCGCTGCCCGAGCTCTGCGACCACAATGCCAAGGTGGCCAAGGGCCTGGACCGCAATCAGGTGAGGCGCTGGGTGGGCACGGGGCCTGGCGTGCAGGTGTGATGGTGTGCAGGTGTACCTGTTGTGCAAGTGTGCCCGGTGTGCAGCCCAGCACGGTGTGACAGTGGCTCTGTCCCACACAGGTGGCTCAGACCTGGACGATGTTGCGGATTATCTATTCCAGCCTTGGAGCTGTGTCATCTGCCAACCTCAATCACAGCATGGGGAAAGGCAGTGCTGCCCTCCCACTCATGAACAGGTATGAGGTGTCAGAGCAAACAGCACAGTGCCTGGGGTTGCTCCAGGACTGGGGGAGAGGAGGTTGCTCCTTGGCTGGGAGGGAGTAGTGGAATCGTATCTTGGAAGCACGGAATGGTTTGGGTAGGAAGGGTCGTTCACGACCATCCATATCCACTTGGCTGTTAAACCCCTCCAGGGATGGTGACTCCACCCCTGCCCTGGGCAGCTGTGACCACCCTTTCCATCAAGGATGGGGTTGCTCCAGGACTGGGGGAGAGGAGGTTGCTCCTTGGCTGGGAGGGAGTAGTGGAATCGTATCTTGGAAGCACGGAATGGTTTGGGTAGGAAGGGTCGTTCACGACCATCCATATCCACTTGGCTGTTAAACCCCTCCAGGGATGGTGACTCCACCCCTGCCCTGGGCAGCTGTGACCACCCTTTCCATCAAGGACCAGTCTAAACTAAACCTCCCCTGGCACAACTCGAGGCTGTTACCTCTGGTCCTGTCTCTCATTCCCTGGGAGCAGAGCCTGACCCCACTTGGCTGCACCTCCTGGCAGGGAGTTGGAGAGAATGAGAAGTTTCCCCCTGAGCCTCCTTTTCTCCAGGCTGAGCCCCCTCAGCTCCCTCAGCCTCTCCTGGTGCTCCAGCCCTTTCTCCAGCTCTGTGCCCTTCCTTGGACATGGTCCAGCCCCTCCATGCCAGTCTTGTCACAAGGGACCCAGAACCACCCCCAGGACTGGAAGTGCCACAGCTGGAGGTTTTCCAAGGCAGAACACAGCCCAGCTTTGCCAGCACCTGATGAAGCAGAATAACTTGTTTTTCCTTTTCTCAATGACACAAACATGAGGGATAAGGACTCCAAATTAGCTGCCAGACCTTGCAGGGACAGGTCCCACAGGGAGTGACAAATCCCAAATAACAGCAAAGAAAACAAGCCCTGTGCTTGACTAGGCTGTGCCTCCAGCTGGGTCGCTGTCTGCGCTGACAGTGAGCTGGGAACTGGGCTCTGCTCCAACCCCAGCCCTCCATCTTCCATCTCAGTGACAGCTGAGAGCACTGATGCATAACAAAACAGCCAAGCACCTTGAAGCCAGGCAGCTCCTGCTCTATTGTGTGTTATGGGGGTGGAATGGACCTCAGAGATCACAGTGCCAACCCCTGCCCTGGGCAGGGATACCTCGCATCAGAGCAGTTTGCTCTGGGCTTTATCCAGCCTGTCCTTGAACACTGCCAGGATTGGAGCAGCCACAGCCTCCCTGGGCACCCTGGGCCAGTGTCTCACCACCCTCACAGGAAAAACTGCCTGATAGCTAATCTAAATTTCCCTCTTTCAATTTCTCCCATTGCTCCTTGTCCTGTCCCTGCAGCTCCTAACACATATCCCTCTGCAGCTTCCCTGGAGCCCCTTCAGCTCCTGGCAGGTTGCT